TTTCTCCCAACCTCTTCCATGTCATACTTGAAGGCACCCTAGATGCCCCCCACTCTTTGGTATAATCTACTGGCTACTCGGTCATGGCGTACCTATCAACCTCGAAATCCCCCCTGTGCTGACCCCATAATCTAACGAAGCTATTGTCACCAGCTCCTTACCCGAGGTGGACTCCATTTCACAGTATTAACACAGAAATAAAAGGGCTCTTCTAAGAATAATACCTAAGGGAGGAACTACGCGAACGGAGATAGGCCAGAGAATGAAAGAACAAACAGTCTTGACGCCCGAAAGTTCAAAATTTCAGAGAGAATCAGATTGCAAATGTTCAAAAGTCCTGAAAAATGAGATTTTCTCACCTTTTATAGAGGTCCAGGACAAACCTCAGCCGTTAGATCGAAGCTCAGTCAATTTGAACCCTCCATTGTAGATCAAATCTGAGGCGTTGAATTCAAACGGTTTTTCAAACCGACGCCTCAGATTCAAGCTTGCCTCCCATGCACTCCATCCAATACGTCTGCTTCTAGAACCTCCAGCTGTCCTCATAATTGTGTTTTTAATTCGACGATAGTAGGCGCCTTGGAAGTCGTATGGGTCAGCTACTTTTCCTCGAAAACAAGCACAAAACATCAAATCATTGGCACAGCTATCGACGCACAATCATTCCCATTGAGCCTTGGCTTCAACTTCAACGTTCAGCCAACAAGCCTTGTAGGTTCGGTTTCCCAACCACCTCAACTTCATCTTCAACGTTCAGCCAACAAGCTTCGCAGGTTCGGTTCCCCAACCACCTCGGCTTCAACTTCGACAATCAGCCTACAAGCCTCGCAGAGGTTCGGTTCCCCCCAACCACCTTGGCTTCAACTTCAACGTTCAGCCAACAAGTCTCACAGGTTCGATTTCCCAACCACCTCGGCTTCCTCTTCAACAATCAGCCAACAAGCCTCGCAGGTTCGATTTTCCAACCACCTCAGTTTCGTCTTCAACATTCAGCCAACAAGCCTCGCAGGTTCGGTTTTCCAACCACCTCGGCTTCCTCTTCATCATTCGCCTATAGCAGCACATCTCTAACTCCAACTATGATATAAATATCTATACTTGGACTTGGGGGACTATTATTTGGGGTTCAAAAATTCTTTCAATTTTTACTTCATTAAAGTCCACGCATTACATAAATGACCATACTTGGACTTGGGGGACTATTGTTGCGTATTGTCATACTTGGCCAACCTACCTGGGCCAATGGCCCACTCAGGCCGAACCACGTGACACTCCATCCGAGGTGGTATATATTACCGAGGTGAGCTATGGCCGAAACTCTTCAAGCCGAAGTCCGCTAGCCAAGGCGCCCTTTTACCGAGGCCTGTAAATGTAACCGAGGTCCACATGCTGAAGCCTATGAGCCGAAACCATGATGCTGAAGCTGGTTGAAGTTAGCTAAAACCCTCAAGTGGAAGTATTGTATGAAATGGCCGAAGCCCCGAAACTGATGCAGGAGCCTCCGAACCACAAGGGAGCATCCTCCATGGTCACTTTTCCTAAGAGATCGTCTGCACAAAGATCTTATTCGAATGATTGATGGAACATTTATCATAAGCATAAAAGGTCAAGTCTTGTCACTAGTATGGAGGCTCTGCACAAGCAATAAATGCTTAGCAAGCTAGCAAGTCGAGCCCCATGTTTAGGATAAGATGTTTGAATCAAAGAGATGAGGTCACATGCCACCTCATCGAAGGGCTCCCATTTCACATGTATCACTATAAATACTTCCCTTGTGTTATATCAAAAGGCTAATGCAAGAATTAATACAAAGAACTACACTTTACTCAACTCTCTCTCATTTACTTGCAATACACAAATCGAGTTTATACACATTTACGAACACCGGTTGGTGATTATTGTACAATCGGATTACGAACAACCCGTTGGATTTTGAACGTCACTGTCCCGCATCGTTGGGCTACTCCCACGCCCTTTGAACCGTCCGTTTTAGACCGTCCACGTGTCTTAGCGTGTTGGACATTCGCCCACGTGTGGGCGGGTGGGACCGGCATCTGTTGGCAACATTTTTTGGGGTCAACATTCTGGTTGTGAAACATATCATTGCAAGTCTTTGAACCATGAGATCACATGGCTAGACGAGGCACTTTCAAATTATCCCTCATTGTCTAGTTAGACTTCAATGTGGAATGAGGATAGAAAACAAATTTTACCATATTCTAGGAACTATAAAAAGGGAGGGGGGGGGGTTGGGTTAAAAAAGNGGGGGGGGGGGGGGGGGGGGGGGGGGGGGGGGGGGATTGGATTAAAAAAGGAGAATGTTTTATTCACAAACACACAATCAAAAACAAACTTAATACCTTTACTCATATTTTGGAAGGAAAAAAAAAAAGAGAAGAAGATTATTCAAGAATTGCTTAAGAGATTCAAGAGTTATTTTTATTTTCTCTCTACAACTAAATATCAGATGATATATTATTATTTCAAATCTTGTTTGTGTAATTTTATGATACGTGGCTAATTATCTAAATACTAAGATGACGATAAACCTATATTTTGTAGTTTTAATGCTAATTCAAAGATTTTGATGCCAAACGCTTGTTTGTCTTGAATGGTTGTTATGTTATTACTGTTTCGAATTACATAATTGATAATGGAATAAATTTGTGATTTTTATTTCATTCGAGAGAAGGAATGAGAAGTTTAGCGCGTTGTAACAATCAATGTAAAGTGCGATAATAGATAGAGATATATTGGCATGTTAATGTTCTTGAGACTTAATTCATTTTTATATATTATCATTCTTCATAAAGATATAATAGGGTTATATGTGTGAATGACTTTAATATTAGATAAAAATTATTGATTGTCAGGTCTAAATAAGTGATGTTAATAACATGCATTGATATTAATATATAGGAAAATAGGGGGATCAGAGGTCCTAGTGGATTTGATTATTCGAGTTTTCATCATCAAAACTTGATAATTTAGTTTAAAGTTTTACGTTTAGTTAGTTATCGAATTAGATTTACGTACGACAGTCTCCTTAAATTGTGTTATTTCAATTAAAGTTATCAAAATCTAACTGAATAAACTATTCTCGTGAGAACGATCTTTTATTCATATTTTATTACTTGTCTACGATACCATTAATTACTTGTGAAATTTTAGCGAATTAAAGCCAATAAATAGAACTCCTATTTTTACTACTAAACAATGAAATTGAACACTTTTATCAATTTTTAACAGAATAGAAATATTTATTCATTAGAGAATCGAGAGTATTAAACAATGAGGTTCCTTTAAATTTTTATATCCAATATAGGATTATACTTTTAAGAGAGACTAGAATGAGATTTTTGATTGTCTAAAATATTTTATAAATTATAAAACATGTCTATATAAATTAACAAATATCATATATATGTAAATTTTTACAATAATTTTTGGGAAATCCTATATTTAATCATATTAGAGTACTATACCTAATATTTCAAAATTATTACTTACACGATACGTTTATGTGTAATCATTTTTTAAAAAATTAATATTATTTTACTACTAATTAATCTTGTTTCATTAAGTGTATCGGTGAACTATACCCCGAATTCTTGCACCACAATCATCCACCATCATCAATTTGTGGCCGCCACAACAACACCCATAACCATCGATTCCATCATTGAATCTTAGTCACTTCTTCGAATCCTAGTGTGAATCAAAGATCACCAAACCCATGTTGTCATCGCCACCGTTACAAGGCCGGAGAGCTAATGAGTGTTTTGAGTTAAATTGAGTTTAGGTTGCATGTATGATCAAGCATTGGCCCATGAAGATAGTTGGGCACTAGAAATAAATACTATGACCATGTTTGAGCCCCTTTTCCTTTTCCAAAATGTATTTTGATAAAAAAAATATATGGTTAAAAATTAAGGAAAAATTACGTATAATATTATTTTACTAAAAAATGTGTAATTGAAAATAAAAAAGAAAAAAATATATTTTAAAAATAATGAGAATAAAAAAAGGATCAAAAAAGGGCTATGTGTGATAATAAAAAAGTCACGTACTAGTTTCATTAACAAATCATGATTTTCAAGTTTACAGTGAAAAGTTTCACCTCAAATAGTAACTTTTCTTAGCACACTCATGTTTGCCGTGAACAATCCATTTTAATATTATTTGAGGATATATCCCTAATGCTTTAAAAATCTATATATTTCAATCAAGAGAAAAATAGTAAGTATAGAGCCTTATTTTCGCATAATTTTTGTTTAACAATGGATTTATCGTTTTTGTTTTGTTTCATCCTTTACTCTTTTTTCAAATTTTATTTATAAAATTTTGACTTTAATTCAAAAATATATAAATTGAATAAAATAAAATAAAATAAAATAATAATAATATATAGTGAGGACTATATTCCTCGTGTTCACTCTAATTCCCTTGGATCATATCTAATCGTGGTGTAAAATAAATTTAAATGGTGATTTAAACCTCTAAAGTGGTCGAAAATCTCCCCAATGCAGAGATTTAAAGGAAATGCAAATTACAATTTTGGAAAAAAAAAATAGATTTTACATTTTTTTTTAAACATCCGTAAAAGGCCAAAAGTGTATTAAGACTTCCAATTGGAGCAAAATTTGAATTTAGATCCATCGAAATGTAAATAAAGATGCAAAAAGTAGGTTTAAAGATATCAATTTACATCGAATTTTACTTCGATTTAAACCGAATATTTGGAGCATTTCGTGCTATCTGAAATTCTATCTAAAAGGCGTAAGTCACGGGCCGTTGTAGTGGGTTGGGCTCTAACGTTAAAAGCCTTTAGTTTGCCCTTTTTCCGTTTTTTGTCGATTTATTTTCGACTTTAAATTTAAATACAATTGACCGTTGCGATTTTCCTCAACGTCTCTCTTTCCCCGACACGACAAAAAAACATTAACCTGCGATCAGGCAAAAAACAACAGCCACCGCATTTAAGGTACGAATGTTTATGCATTGACCGTTTAAGGGCAAGAGAACTTCTTTAGGAAATCTACCAGCAGGCAAAATAGTTAAGAGCAGAAGGGGTGGGAAAGAACGCGCATCAAATCATAGCATTGTTCTAGTAAATGGATGCTTTATTTTCTGTCATTTTTGATGTGACTGTACTGATTCTGTCCATGATATCATGGTCGATGAAGACGAAATATTCTGCTTTTTAGCAAAACCCTTTGGATTAGCCATGTCAAACCTATTGTTAAATACTTGATGGGAAAAAAATTATAACTCGATGCTTCTTTGAATTTCTTAGCTAATCTCAATACTAAATTTCATTTTTCAGTAAAGGAGATGTTGAATCCAGTAGCTTTGTTCAGATCAACTTCATCTCGATCGTCATTATCGTCAAGGATTTTAGTGAGCTCTTCAACCTCAAGAGATGAAGACTATGAATGTATTAGCAACTTCCCTGAAGAGTCCTGCATGTTTACAGGGAATCATCAGTCAACCCTGGAAAAATTATATGCTTGGGAGAAAAAACTTTACCAGGAAGTTCGGGTATGCCTCTGAACGATGAACTATTTTGTGCCAAATAAGACTAGCCTCATCTCCTATAATATTTAATAGGAATGGTGTCAATTATTCATTTTCAACTGTTGAAACTAGCACACTGTAAACAAAAATTATGAACGAAATAATGAACATGTTATGTCGTGGAATAAAAACTTTGTGGGTGGAATTGGTACAGTACACCTATGCATTCAAAAAACTTAAACTGGGGAAGTAAAATTTCTAATTTCATTTTAGATAACCAAAAAAATGTTTATGCATGTTGATTAAGAGTGCAAAAGATGTGAACGTATAAAAAAGTGTTTGCTTGAAAATCTTTCTTTTTATGATTTCATTGTGATCGCAAGTTGTATTTCATTACTTTCTTGCAGAATATATAGCCCCAAACTGATTTGCCATTCTTCTTCCAGCATTTTTGTCTCTCATCTTTAAATAAACTTTCTGGTAATTTTTGGGAAACCAAAGAATGTACTTTCACTTTTAGCCTTAAACTTTAACTGAAACTTGTGTCAAAGGAGTAGAAATGTGAAGAATCCTGTGCTTCTGTAGTTCTTCAGTACAACGGCTGAAAGCTAAATTTCGTTGCATTTCATTTTACTGGGTTAACATAATGTCTGGAATTATCTTTTATGTCAGTTAATTATAAGTAATCTTTGTGTCTATTCAGGCTGGTGAACGCATTCGAAAAGCATATGAAAAGAAGTGTGCACAACTGAGAAATCAAGATGTGAAAGGAAAAGAACCTCCTCTTTCTGATAAAACCAGAGAATCCTTAACTGATCTGCATACCCAAATAAAAGTTTCGATTCACTTAGTGGAATCTGCCTCTAAGAGAATTGAAACATTAAGGGATGAGGAACTGGAGCCTCAGATATTAGAATTAGTGCAAGGGTACGTATGAATCTCAATGCTCATTTATTGTTCTATTGGAATTATTGAGTGAACTTATACGAAAATATTGGAACATGCACCTGACAAACCTATACTTCAATTATTTTTTAGCTACAAGATATGTAGTCCATATGCTTCTCTTCTCTTTTGCTACGGTACTAGAATTCTAATGTGCTGTTTTCATGTATTTTTTATAATTTACTACAAAATTTGCTGAAAGAAAAGGGAGAAAAGCTTATCCTCTATTTGAAATTTTTAAGTAGCATTGTACTGGTTTCAAAACTTCGGTTCATGACCTCATTACTTCATAAAATAAACCAAAGGTTTTTTTAATTATGTACGCTTTGGTTGCATGTATTTATGCAAAATGAATTCATTCTCATCTGAGTTCGACTTGGAGATTGTCAAGTCGACGATTGTGACTTGTCCATATTGTACATGCTTCACCAACCAATTAGACTTAAATCTGTCTAAATTAAATGATTCAGACTGCTGTGATCAAATGAAGCAATTGAATTATTTGTGTGATCATTTAACAGGTTAGCAAGGATGTGGAAGGTTATGGCTGAGTGCCATCAACTACAGAAATGTACTCTAGATGAAGCCAAGATTTTACTGGCTGGAAAGCTCTCAACATTTTCAGCAACAAAGAAAAAGAAAATGTCACCTTCCAAGCTACAAAGGCTTGCCAATTCAGCTGCTAATCTCGAGACAGAGCTCACGAATTGGAGAGCCTGCTTTGAGACATGGGTTGTTTCTCAACGCTCCTACGTGCATGCATTGACAGGATGGCTCTTGCGCTGTGTCCGTTTGGATCCTGACACATCGAAATTACCGTTCGCTCCTCATGAGTCCTTTGGGGGATCATCAATGTTTAACATTTGCATCCAATGGTCCAGGTTCCTTGATGCAATCCAGGAAGCTCCGGTACTTGGTGGACTCGATCATGCAGTAACAGGTGTTCGTTCCTTATATGCAACACAAGTACAGGAAGATTCTTGCAGGAAACTAAGTCCTTCAAAGAGCTGTGGAGGGGAACGGGAACCTGTAGGATTTGTGGAGGTTGGCCAATTTGAAGATGAAGTAGCGAGTGCAGAAAAAATGGCCGAAGTAGCCAATAGAGTGCTTTGCGCCGGAATGTCAGTAGCCATGAATTCACTGACAGAATTTGCTTTTATTTCAGCTGAAGGATATGCTCATTTGGTCAAGCAATGGGAGAATGCCAAACAGCCTAAGAGTTCAGATACTGGAAACTTGGGAGAATGCCAAACAGCCTAAGAGTTCAGATACTGGAAACTTGGGAGAATGCCAAACAGCCTAAGAGTTCAGATACTGGAAACTTGGGAGAATGCCAAACAGCCTAAGAGTTCAGATACTGGAAACTTGGGAGAATGCCAAACAGCCTAAGAGTTCAGATACTGGAAACTTGGGAGAATGCCAAACAGCCTAAGAGTTCAGATACTGGAAACTAAGTAGTTATTTATTTATTCATTCATTTATTTATTTTTTCGTGGCAGTATTGTAGGAAAATCAATTAAAGTCAGAAATGAACTTAATGAACAGAGAATTAGATATTGTTTCTATTTATTCAATTTGTAATATTCTTTTGGTTCCAGAGAAGATATACGAAAATATGGTTTTAGTTCTAAATTATGATGATATTTATGTCAATCTATGATAATGTTACTGCAACATGTGGCTGCAATGTAAAGCAGAATGTAGAGGGGATAAAATCACATATAGTTTCTGTATAATTGCATTGTACAAACAGGTGACCAATACTCTCTCGGTGCATGCACCACAAGCAGCAACAAGAAGCCATATAGAAAATCTGCAGGCATAGTACATCATTAGTGGGCAAACGTCCATGTAAATAAGCCACATTAACCATAATTTTGATGAGGAAATTTAATGAGACAAAATGAACTTCCCCACTCCACTATCGAACCCATCTCATGGAAGTGTTGGTAAGCATCCTAGCAAGAAATATGTCCAGTGATCGACTTGGTCTAGAATTAGGACAAGATTAAACACCCTCAATGAAACGTGGCGTCACCTGGAACTGAATCTTCAAGCCTACTGAAAGATGCCAGCAACCATTATAGTAATAATTGGATGCTGTCTCTGAAATTATACACCAAGAACCCGGGCTCAGTTTCTCAATAAACCGAATCAAACACCAAACATTCGAAGGCTCAACCCAAATCCAAACTTCTTACTATGGTTGCCCTCTTGTAAACATTACCCACGAAGGATAATTACTATTAACCACGAAGAAAGAGAGAAGGAAAGAAGCTGCTAGGAAATAAAGGTAATAGAATAATGTGACAACATGAAAATCAAACAATCAAGTACACAAGATTTTATGTGGAAAACCACGGGGAGAAGAGGAAATTCACTAATATCAATAATGGAGGATTACAAAGTGTGTAGAATGTAAAGATGCTTTTTCAAGAGGTTTACTCCTAATATTTATAATGCAAAGTAGACCCTAAGATGTGGTGGAGTTCAACTATAAAAGTCTAATAATAATGGAGTGTTTGGGATAAAGTAGTATTTAGAATACTTGCTAAAATTGCGAAGCTGTTCATTTCTGAATAAAATCGCTGCTCGAGTGCCTATCAAATGGTGATTGGTCGTTTGAGCGGCCACCTTGTGGTAAGTGAGGACTGAGACTACTATTTTGGCATCGAGCGGGATTAAGGCGCATAGTAAGCGCCAATTCGACATTTCCTTTCTCCTTACACGATTTCTTCATCTCCTATTACAACTTGGACTCCTTCAAGTCCAACACAAATTCCAAACTCTCGATTGAACTTCCAAATTGAATTTCAACTAGAATTTGTAAATAGACTTCAAATTGAATTCTTAACTAGTTTTCCAAATAGAATTTCGCTCACACCCTAATTTTAACAAACTCTACGTTTAAATGAATTTCGCTATAATGAACAAAATTTCATAAATTCTCTACTTGAAAACAAATTCAAATGCAAGGAATAAGACTTAACTTTTCAACGACAAGTTCTCCACTAAAAAATTTTAGAACAAAAAAACTCCTCACCCCTTCCATAAAGCCAACTTGGCCAAACTCAATTACTAAATATCAATCAAATCCAAGCACTGCTCAACATAATTATTTTGGGTGCTAGAGTTGCTCGACCTATCATTATGAGCAACAAGTAACAAATAACTCAATAATTACCAAACAGGGCAAAAATATATTCTGAAATAGAATCAGCACAACTAATTACTTCTGTAGAAGGTTTTTCGCTACACTCAATACCTTCGACCACATTAAAGCATAAACAACTAAATCAACATTCCCGTACATTTGTGGTGGCCTAATATCTTTCCTAGGTCTATCTCTAGCAACTTACTATTCTAACACCATTGTTGGTGGTGGTAAACCGGCATCACTCATAATCTAACCTCAATCTCCTCTTCTAGTTCTTGCTCATGACTATTTTCAATCCGTCTCATATGTTCGTTTAGAGAAACTTGCTTCCTCTTTGAACTTGTACAAAAATATGTGTTCAAAGAATGAAACATTTCTTAATCCAATATCATGCTTTTGTGTATGTCTGAGATTTTAGAATCATATACAAGAAATCGATAAGTGCTACTATTATTTGCATAGCCAACAAAGATGCAATCTACTATTTTTGGTCCTATCTTTACCTTCTTTGGTGTTGAAATGATCACTTTAGAAGGACACCTCCACACTAATAAGTATTTATAGGAAGACTTTCTTCATTTCCATAACTCATAAGTGGTCTTTTCCATTTTCTTTCGAGGCACTTTATTTAAAATGTAATTTGCTGATAACACAGCTTCCCCACACATGTTTTGAGGTAACTCAAAATTTACTAGCATTGCATTCGTCATTTCTTTTAAGGTGCGATTTTTCTGTTTAGAAACACCATTTTGTTGCGGAAAATAAGGTACGGTAATTTCATATATGATTCCATGTTGTGCACAGAATTCAGCAAATGGTGCTTCATACTCACCCCCTTGATCATTGCTCAACACCTTAATCTTCTTAAGATGCTTTTCAACTTCATTCTTATAGAGAACAAATTTCTCTATGACTTGTTTTTAAGCAGATACACATAATAGTATTTTGTGCTATCGTTGACAAAAGTAATAAAGTAGTTATTGCCACCTCTTGTTTGTACAATTTAAGTCACATACGTCGCTGTGAATTAAATCAAGTGGTTCTATATTCCGTTCAATTAATTTAAAGGATGACTTTGTTAATTTTGTCTCAATATAAGTTTGGAACTTATGGTTGGAATTAGTGTGGAACGCTGGTAAGCATTTCAAGTTAACTAGTCTACATAAAATATCATAGTTAACATGTCCTAATTTACCATACTACAAATTGAAAGACTCAAGCAAGCAAAAGAGTTCGCTTTATTTATTTTTGGCTTAAAAATCATTACATTCAATTTAAACATATCATAAAAAACATAACATTTTGCGACAAACATTCCACCTTTTGACAAAATAACTGTCTAACTCAAATACAATATGAAAACCATACTTATTCGAAAGCGATCTGAACACAAGGTTCTTACGAATATTCAGCACATACAATACAATGTTTAGAGTTAGCTCTTTTCTTGAGGTCATCTATAGAACCACCTTTCTTTGATATTTGATTTCAAAAGTTGTTGAATTTCCTGTCAACAACTTCTTCCCATTCTCAATTGTTTCGAATACAACAAACGGCTCTTTAGCAGAGCACACATACTGTATAGCACCGGCGTCAATCCACCACTTTTTTCAGTTATAACCCACCATGTTCATTTCAGAAATGACTGCTGCGGGATTCATTTTCAATATATTATGTGCCATGTAGTCAACCATATTTGTTTCTTTATTATTCTTCTTTGGCAATCTGCACTTCGTAGACTTGTGGCCTGCTTTGTCACAATTTAAGCATTTTCCTTAAAAATATTTCTTAGAGATGCCTCCTTTCGGTCCTGGCTTAGTACCTTTGCCACTAGATGTCCTAGACTTATTCTTTAAAGTCTTAGAACTTCGACTGTGCTCAACAACATTGGCCTTAGTCCCAATATGATTGAACCCCCTTTTTTCTGAATTTCTGTTATCTTCTTCAATTCGAAGTCTAATATTCAGTTCTTCAACATTCATTTCATTTCATTTGTGTTTAAGGTAATTCTTGAAGTCTTTTCACACGGGGGGCAATTTTTCAATAATTGCAGCCACTTGAAAAGTTTCACTCAAAATCATACCTTCGGTATGAATCTCGTGAATAATCATTTGGAGTTTTTCCACTTGACTTATTTACTATTTTGGAGTCCACCTTCTTATAATCTAAGAATCGGCCAACAATAAATTTCTTGGTCGCAACATCCTCAGTTTTATATTTTCGATCCAATGACTTCCATAGCTTTTTAGCAATTTTCATGGTACTATACACATTGTACAGCGATTCTGCTAAGCTATTCATGATGAAGTTTCGGCATAGAAAATTCGAATGTTTCCAAGTATCAACCACACTGATCGCTTGAACATCTCCCTCACCTTCATTGAGTTTTGAAACAGTTTTTATCAAGAATCTCGCAAGATTCAAGGTGGTCAAGTAAAATAGCATTTTCTGTTGCCATTTTTTGAAATTTAAGCCATCAAATTTCTTTGATTTTTCTCCATGATTAACAAGAACAGTAACGGTATGGCTAGTTGTTGGAGCTACAGATTGACTCACAACATGACTTGACAATTTAGTCACAGTCTGAGCCACAGCAGAGCCCACAAATTGATTTTTAGCAGCAACAGTTTGGGACACATCCATGCTAGTAGATTCGGTTACCATTTCTTAAAGACAAAAGGAAAATTAGTTTCTAAAATCAACAATATAAAAAACCAATTTTTTTCTTCAATTTGTTTTAAGTTTGTTGGACTAAATGTTAGTGGATGAATACATGATTAACAAGTACTAGATGAAAATACTGGATTTACGCATACCATATATGCACCTTACCATATATACAACATATCGTATATGCAGCTTACCATATTTGCAACTTACCGTATATATCGCTTAGCTTAGATGCAGTGAACTTGGATACTACCAAAAATATAGCCGACTAAATTGAAATAAACTGAACATATTAATCTACTTAGCTAAAATATATCATATCAAATTCCAATAAATAGAACAAGTAAACTAATTAGCCAAAAGCAAGAAAAATTTTAACCAAGTTCCGTGTAAACACAGTTTCCTTAAAATAGATTCGCTCCCCTCACCGTAGGTGCTCGAGGTTTAATTTGGACGTTTGTCTCCCAGGATACAATGGAGGAACTGTAGAATTTGAACACCTCAAATTTTCACGTCCGAAGCTTATTTTGGTTCGATTTGCACCCTTGTGCGCGCATGTAGAGAAAGCCTCTATGCTACAGATGATCACACTATTCCAAAGTGCAATCCTATTTAAGGTGGTATTTATTTTCATAATTTTTCTATGTCGTATAACCTTAAATGGTTTCCCTTCAACAACATAAACTCCTTTTAATTGACAAACTTTGAGCTCTAATTTCTCATTTACCCGAACATCATTTTTGATAAGTAAATACATGATTTCAATGTTCTCACAGAGGAGCTCACAAATCAATCTTGAACTTCCAAAATAACG